CACACACACACACACATTAGACCCTAATCACTACAGGATCATCACTCTTGGCTGCGACCGAGGAGCCAAACTCACAAGCTCAAAACAACTCCCGCTCCTCCTCAGAAGAGGAGAGTCGGCGTTGGACAATAAATGCCCTTGTTGTGCGTCGACCGTGGCGTAATAAATCGAGGCTCAGTGATGTGGCGGAGGATCAGCAGAATGAGTTTGAATTGTAGCTTTAAGTTCGTTTCTACGGCCCCACMGTGTCAGCTCTGATTTCGAGCAGAGACTGGAGCTTGTTTTGAAGCCTCTCCAAAGTGGCCAATAAACTCGTGGTTTACAGCTGGACTATTTCCGTTTTTATTGTCACTCRCAGCCGAAGGTGAAAGGGCGATTAAGGTTTCGCTCGTGTCTCTGTGTGCATGTACTGTTAGCAAAATTACTCYTGAATCACTGAATGGATTTTAACAAAACTTTAGAATGTAATATTTGAAGTTAGCCTGAATTTAAAAGGACCACAGCTACAATTTCTAAAATAAAAATTTTGCTTAAATTTATTCTGTTGACTAATATTGTAGCTTAACGTTATAATAATCAAATGTTGCTGTGATTATTACATATTCTTTTAGCCTTTTTTTAAATTTTGGTTCAGTATGGAGAAAAGTTGATCTTGTAGATTCTGATCTTTGTCCCACATTAAATTCTAGGGATGCTGTTGTTTACACGTTCCCACACAAAAGAGAAAAGGAGTCACCTTCTACTAGTTTTGAACCCAGCCGTGACATTGGTTTATCAGTTCAAAGCTGTCTGAAGCTGTTTTGCTGGATTTATGGTTGTTAAGATTAGTGAAACCCGATCCCCCGGTGCTCCCAGAGGGAAATGATGGACAAAGCTGGAGGCTCATCAGAAAACAACAGAAAGTGTTGCTTACTTTGCAAAATGTAGCACAAAGGTTTGGAGTTATTGAGATTTTCCTTTTTGTAAACTATTCAGCGCTTCGGAGAACACATTCTCACGTTTCACCCATTTCACTGTAAATAAATTCAGCTGCAGGGTCTGATTTTCTGTCCTGTCTTTGTTTTAGAATGATTAATAATGAAAACAAAAGTAATAAATAACAATTCAAGCCTTTTGTGCTGTACTTAAAACATAATTTTATTAAACCAAAAAACAAAAACATGCTTTTATTGTCAGCTGATGACTTACATTTAAAAATGGAACCTCTCTAGTATTTAAAACAAGACGTGATTAATTTAAAGTACTTTATGTCTAAAATATTTTACTGATTATGTGTTGGGTTTATGGTTGGTGAGGAAGGCAGGCAGCTTTAATAAAACAAAAACATCTGATGTAAAAAAAAATATGTGGCCCAGTTCTGGCCCACACAATGCACTGAGACTCTACCCATGTTCCTCAAAGAATGATGGCCCTTTGGTGGCCTGGATATATAGTAGTTTGTCAGATGTGGCCCATGCATGGGTCAGCACCACATAAACCAAACCACAACTGTGCCAGCTGTGGCATACTATCTTAAAAATGGTGCCACCGTTGCCAGACCTGGCCCACATCTGGTTGACAAGCCCCTTATCATGCCAGCGGTCAGCCTGCAGCGGCAGCTGGACACCAGATCTGGCCCACACCTGTCTGCTGTGTGGGACGTAATAAATGAAAACAAACATGTAGACACGCATCTGGACATCTTATAACTGACTGAGAAACTAAGCAGTTTAAATGTGGGGATAGGGGATTCATGAAGCGAATGCAGCTGGGGTTATTACCGATGAAGAGCAGGTGTGTGGGACAAGGTGAGTCTGAATAGTCTGAGGAAGAATTTTCWGAAATCAGACTCAGCTGTTGCTTCTCAGCATAAACTTGGTTTTTGCAGATTACAGTGAGCTCATCGCTGTAATCCTGTAACCTTTTAACGCCGGTAACCTGCAGTCCTCGGAGGCAGAACATGAAACACTTTGTTGTTAAGTGTTTTTGCGGAAACGTATGTTTGTGTGCAGAGGACCATATAATGGCCGTGCACTCGGGGAGTATGAAGCGTTTGAGCAGAAGGGTTGCCTTTTACGGTTTGATCCAACTGTTGATGCAATAACATCCATTATTCCCATTACCTGGGTCAATATGGCAGCAGTAAGCAGGGATGGAGATGGTGGTTGTTCCTGCGGGGGGGGGGGGGGGGGGGGG